AAACCAGACAGGCTGACGCACCTTCTTAGCCACCAGACCTCCACCAGAAATGTTGGATAAAAATTTGAGGGGAAAAACAGAAAAACCTGTCGGCAGCAGCCCGCTTAATGTTGGAGCAGTCCATCTCAGTAATGGTTAAATCAGTGATACTCAACTTACGGCCCGTGGGCCAAGTCTGGCCCTCTGCAGGGTGCCGGGTGGCCCCCAAAACATTTCCTAATTCACACTGGGATTTTTGAATACTTTGAATATACACTAAGGTGCCGTAAGACTGCCACGTGGCAACCGCCCTGACACCCGCCTACCCGCAGGAGCGTTCCCCAAAAAAGCCAAGTGTTCTTAAAAAGCAGCTGCTGCCACTACGGTCCAGGGCTGTGATGACGGGCAGGTGCTTCAGTGAACATCTGAGTAGACTGGCGACATAAGCAACAGCAAACTGTAACAAGACAATGGAAAACCAGAGATTTCAGCTGTGGGCGGCTGTGGCTCAGGTGGAGCAGGTTCCTTGAACAGGACACTGAACCCCAAAGTGCTCCTGATGGCTGTTCATCAGTGTGTGTGTGCTTTAACCTGCAGGTGGCACCTTGTACGGTAGCCTCAGCCACCTGTGTGTGATTGATTGATTGACTGATCTGTTTATTTAAGTGTCAAACACCATAATTGGTGCCCAGCCCTCATGGGCTTATTAGACACTGAACAGTAAATAATACATCAAATAATTCCACGATTACATCCATGATAACCACGTGACATAATACATAACAGAGCAAAACCTCTGAAAATAGGGCCACATACAAATAAAAAAAATAAAAAAAAAAATTTGTTATACAGGGTACAGAATATTTTGCCGCAAGTACCACACCTTTTCTATAAATTTTGCCAAAGCAAAAACATTATTTTCAAACAACCAACACAGAATCTCACCTTCATATTTCCAAAATAGATCAGAATTTTTTAACTGAATTGATTCAAAAAGAGAATTCCTTAAATCACCATATAAAGGACAATGAAAAACAAAATGAAATTCATCTTCCACAACCTGGAGATCACAAAATTCACACAAACGTAAATCTTCTTGTATGCCTTTAAATCTTCCCACTTCTACTGCCAGAGGTAAGGTACCAGTTCTCAAATGAGCACAGAGGGACCTCTGCCTTCTCTTAAAATTAAGGACAATATAAGGTTCTGTAGCATAGTCATTCTTAAACTGAACATAATTTCTGAGCTTTGGCTTCTTCCATATATCCTGTTTCCATTGATCTTCATACTTCATAAACATTTTTTGTTCAACACAATTTATATTACATTGCAGATAATTTCTGAACATTATATGCATGTCAGACAATATTATTGAGACCTCTCTAGACCAGGGATGATGGTTTGCCATGTCCCAATTAAAAATTTTCCTAGTTAGCCTTTCCTCTGGCAGACTGACAAGACGGTTCCACAATCTCACCATATCACATCTTTGTTTTATAATACATGGATCCCATCCTGCATCCCCTTCAATAGCTACCTTTGCAGCATATTTATGCACACCAAGAAAACACCTCAAAGCACGATTCTGAACCGAGTTACACTCAAAAACTTCTTCAAAGCCCCAAACCCCTGCAGCATAAAACAAAACTGAGTCAACCAAGGATTTATAAATATAAATATATATATAAAAGTTGTGTAAATGTAGAAAAACCAAGATCCGTACATGACTTCATTTTACTCAACACATAGCCTAACGCTCTTCCAGCGGACTCTGCTAATATTTTTCTTCCCTCTGAAAACTTCATATTTTCATCAAAGACAAAACCAAGATATTTATAATGACAAGTGTACTTTAAAGGCACAGAGCCAAACTGAAATGTAAGCTTACTCTGTAATTCGCTTTTTTTCCTAAAATGAACAATTTGTGTTTTTTCACTATTAATGGCAAGAAGCCATTTACTGCACCAAGAATTCATAATATTCAGCATATTTTGTAAATTGACTTCATTTTCAGCAATCAGAATAATGTCATCTGCATAAAGCAGAATACTTAGATTCATATCCTCTATTGGAACACCAAGATTAACCTGTTTAATTTCTTGAGCTAGTTCATTTATGTAAAGAGCGAATAGAGAAGGGGAAAGTAAATCTCCCTGCTTCACCCCAGAAGGCGTTGGGAACCAGTCCATTCTTAAGTTATTTACTTGTACACAAGCAATGGGGTCTCTATAAAGGGATTTTATAGCGTTAAAGAATTTTCCAATGATACCAGATGAAAGTAATTTAAACAACAAAAGGTCTCAGTTAACACAATCAAACGCCTTTTTAAAATCAACAAAGCATGCAAAAGTACTTTTACCCTTCTCCAAACGAGCTCTCACCACAGAAGATAACACATAAATATGATCAATACAGGCCCTATTTTTCCTAAAACCATTCTGCTCATCTACTAACCCTCCATTAGATTCCAAAAAATTATTAAGTCTGTTATTAAGGACTCCTGAATAAACTTTGTAGACTGTGCTAATCAAACTAATGCCTCTATAATTTAACGGTACTCTGAAGTCATCTTTTATAGATTTCGGGATGGGTTTAATAATTTATCTATTCCACACAGATGGGATAATACCATTATGAAAACATATGTGACACAAGCAATGTAGGACATTACATAAGTTAGGGTTTTTAAGGACCTCATTAGGGAGGTCCTCAATGCCCACAGCTTTATTTTCTTTAGCTTTGTCTAGCACTTTAAGTACCTCCTCTACTGTAATCTCACTGTTCAGTAAATCATTTTGATGGTATATGATATTATTCATCCCAGTTTCCATCTCAAGTTTTACTTTACAGATTTCTTCTAAGAAGAGATCATCAAATAAAGTGGAACTACTACAAGCATATAAATTACTGTAATCTTTTTCCCACTTTTTTAATATTTGACCAGACTCAAAAGAGGATTCACCATTTTCCATTAAAACCTCCATGGGTATTAATGTTTTCTTTTTTGGTCCTAACTTGTGTATTTCCCTCCAGAATTGCTGAGGGTTACCAGTTTGTAGTTGTTCTAACTTGAGAGCATGGCCTCTTTTAAGCACTTTTAATTCTTTCATTACCGCAGCATTGCAGCTGCAGCACTCGCTTTCATTCTTGTTGCTGTTTCTGGAGGCTCGCCCTGGTTTCTCGTGATCCCCCATAATTTTGTCCAAAATGGGGCACTTCACCTCCCAAAGCGAAGATGTAAACTTTACACCGGGTTTTGTACAAGTTTGTTCAAAGTTTGTTCAAAAGTTTGTTCAAAAGTTTGAGAATGCCAGCACGCAAACACACTCACGCGGCCATCACTGTGAATGTGTGAATGTGTGTGTGACTGTGTGAATGTGACTCGTCGTGTGGCAGCACTTTGGTTTCAGGATCAGCAGATGGATTTGTTTTTGGTTCAGCCGTTGTTAAAATCACAGACGTTTGGTTTGTTCACACCACAAACAAACCGCACCAGAGTCTGTTTGGAGGCGGAGCCAGACCCACCTTTTCGAGCGGCCTCGGTCTGGTTGATTGGTCGGCACCAGGGTTGGACTGACAGCTTTCAGCCCAAACGAATTGCGCTAACAAACAAACGAACGCTGAACGCTCCTTCAGATGTTAATGTCGCGTATTGATATGTCTGACCTGATTCTTTTTCTCTGTGGAGCTGATGCAGGTCTACCTGAGAACCTCCCTCATGTGGTCATGTGACCTCTAGCATCTGATAAATGCCCCACCAGGCAGCGCTGCGTCTCCTCCATTTTGCCTTCTTCGTTCTTTTCTTTTGTTAGATTCATTTGACAGTAAACTTTATTTGACTCGGCAAACTTTGTTGACTCCTCTGTGTTGCTCCCTGTTAAAACTGTTAAACTGTATCCTGGAGCCTGCTTCCTGTCATGTGACCAGATCAGACATACAGAGTGTCTCCTGGGTTTCACATTAAAGGTGTTCGAACTCTAACAGCTGGGTTGTTGCAGTAAACAACAACAGACATAACTAAAGCAGATAAATATACACTGTGACACCGAATAAGTCAAATGAAGAAAAAATTGAGTCTTGATCACATTTAAAATCACTTAAAAATGAACTGTAATCAACTCAAAGTGTTACTCCCTGATCGGCGCGGTACATTAAACATTAGCATGCTATTAACATCAGGTCAGATCAGCAGCTGTGTCTCACTGAGGCTTCAGGGCGAGAGGCTCACTGCTGCCTCAAGCAAATTGCTCCTGACGCAAGAAGTCCACGTTCCTTCGCTTCACTTCAAAGCCAGCGAGACGGAGAGGAGGTGCTCATTAGCATAGATTAGCATATACCTACAGACACACTTTCCAGCAGCCGGTGGTTTAAACTCTCCACAGTCGGAGGGGAGACGGCTTCTTCCACCTCATCCTTCACTTTCTCGTGTGGCAAGTAAACATCAGTGCTGCTGCCACGTCCTGTCATCATAATAAACATTAACGATGACTCTTAGCCTCTCTGACGTCCTTTATTGTACAGTTACCTAAACTATTCCCCACAAACATGCAGTCAACACTGTCTCCTCAGTATGTCCTACCAGCGTCTCCATCGCACTCGACTTCTTCCCCGACTGATCCACTTTGTGTCACCAGAAAAAAATAACACCCGAAGGTTGCTGTGTGTTGTCATGTCATTATACGCTACATTTTAGTGCTCAGCTCCCTCTTCACCATGACAGTCCAGTGCTGCGCCCGCATCGCTGCAGACACTGCATCAAACCACCGATCCATCTCACTGTGAACAAGACCCCGAGACACTTGAACTACCTCGTTTGAGGCGGTCCACCATTTTCTGGAGAACCATGGCCTCAGATTTGGAGGTGCTGACTCTGCTTCACACTCAGCTGCAGTCCGCCCCAGGTCATACAGAATAAAATAAAAAACACAATTCAAATGATGAAATCTTTCAGGCAGTTTTCATCCTCATTGCGTCTTCAAACATTTCACTGAGTTAAAAGAAGAATTTCTTCAACATCCAGGTAAGAAACAAAATATACAAGAGGAGGTTTCTTTATTTTGTAGAAACATTCGTGCAAAACTACATAAATTGTACACTGTTGATTAAAAACGAGGTTTATCAGAAGTCTGTTTGTGTAGAGTTCAAACAGCTGCAGTGTCTCCGTAGTCTCTGTTCCAGCGGACATAAAGCTCCAGAGTCTGAGCACCGACGCTTCTCTTAATCTTCTTCAGAGATTCAACAAAGTCTCTGAAACAAATGTTTCGGATCTGTGAAGAAAACAGAAGAATTAACGAAAATATTCACTCAAGTGTCGTTTGTTTGTGTTCGCACTGAGGAAGTCCGTTACCAAAATAAGAGCATCAGCACTGAAACATTTAAAATCTGTACGGCAACATCTTGATGTTGAAGACCGAAACAACTTGAGAGGACTCCGAGACTTTGAGGAGTCAGTTCAATTAATAATTAATCCACTGATTGGTCGATCACATAATTACATCATCTCACCTCGCTGGCGTCCATGTTCCTCACTTGTTCTGGACACAACTCTGCAGAAACAGACAAACACACCAGCACCAACAAGCAAACACATCAGAACAGCAACATTCTCAGTTCTTAAAACAGCAGATATGAAAGAGTTAAGTTTCATACTTTATAAAACCTTTTTAAGACGACTTGAATGTGTAGAGACTGATGACACTGTACGCTGATGATGTGTCATTATATGTTTGTAGCCCAGATGTCGGCCTCTCTTTCCTTTCAGGTCTCTTTGACATATTTGGTTTCAGTCAATAAGCTACAAATATATGAAACAAAAGATATAACCATTGCAACGAGCGCTGACTGGACTCTCCCTCCAGGATTTTGCAATCGCAACAATTAACAAAAATTCAGCCAATCAAATAAACTCTACCAACTTTGTACCTGGCGACAATCAGGTGTAGCTGGTCCTGCAAATACCTTCTTTGCTTAAAGTATTGTTAGGTCAAGGTGAGGTCACTCTATAAACCTGTGACCTCACCTGCACATTTCCTTATCTTCCTCTCTACCAAGAGAGATATGTATATGTTTTGTTTTATATTTATATGTGCAAATAAATAAAAGTAAAAAAAAAAAGTCACTGATTGCTCATAATCATAAGCTCCAAATCTCAGACAGCATCACGACTACTTTTTCACTTGCCCCAAAAATTCTTTGCAAAAAAGCACCTATAAACATCACAACATGCACAATTGTTTTTTAGAAAAGCTGCAGTGAAATCAGGGATTCAGGCCGCAACAGTCCTCTTCTGCGGTGATGTGGGCACTGTGTCGGACCGTCGTGGTTCAGAGGGAGCTGAGCCAGAAGGCGAGGCTTTCGACTTCCTGCTCCATCTACGTCCCAAACCTCACCTATGGTCATGAGCTCTGGGTAGTGACCGAAATGAGCTTCCTCTGTAGGGTGTCTGGGCTCAGCCTTAGAGATAGGGGGAGGAGTCAGACATCTGGAGGGAGCTCGGAGTAGAGCAGCTGCTCCTTCATGTTGAGGTGGTTCAACATCTGATCAGGATCCTCCTGGTCCAGCTGGTAGGAGGCCCCGGGGCAGACCCAGAACACACTGAAGAGATTATAGATCTCATCTGGTCTGGGAACACCTCGAGGTCCTCCAGGAGGAGCTGGAGAGTGTTGCTGGGGAGAGTAACGTCTGGAGGACTGTACTCGGCCTTCTGCCCCCGAGACCCAGCCCCGGATAAGAGGAGGATGAAAATGGATGAATAATCCCAAACACTGTCAATAGACTGACGGGTAATAACCTATCAGGACCACCTGAGTGCCTCATTTCGTTCACCTTGCTCACCTGAATCCTTTTCAGGTCTGATAGTTTTACACAAACACTGATTCAAAAACTGTATCTCACCTCTGATTGGTCCCAGGGAGGCATCTTTAGCCAGTGAGGTGAGGTCACTGCCGGAGTAACCCTCCGTCATCCTGAACGATCAGAAACAGAGACAAAGATAAAGTTCAGGTGTTTTTTAATGTGTCGCCGCCCTCTGCAGCATCCCTGTGTGATGGCACAGGTACAGTACACATCCACAGAAGATCAACATCATCTGTGACGTAACGACGTGTTTGATGATGAGGTGTAGAGGGCGCACCTGCTCAGCTGGCGCAGCTCTCTGTGTGTCAGCGGGTTGCTGTGTTTCTCCAACAGGTTCTTCAGCAGCTTGAAGCGAGTCTGACAACGACAGCAGCGTCACGTCAGTCAGACAAACCCGCACAGATTTCATATTTCTATATATTATAATAATATTATATTATTATAGGGATGAACTCACCTCCTCAACTGGCAGAGCGACGTACACGCGCTTAGCAAAACGTCTGCAAACACAAAATGAAAGATGAGTTTGGCTGCTGATGTACAAAATGTAGCTGAACTTCAGATTCAGTGACAGTGAAGATATTTTAATCAGCCGCTCTTCATCTCCTCTGGACTACATGCTGAGGTTCAGTCTCACAAAACGACCACAGCGTCCGTCCACACCTTAACGGTCCTTAAAATGCTCGATAAAAGTGGAAACATCTTTAGCTCGATGACAGCTGGACAACTCCACTTGCTGATCAGGATCATGTGACACTGAATCTGACCTGAGAACGGCCTCGTCCAGCTCCTGAGGCCTGTTGGTGGCTCCCATCACCAAAACCCGGTCATCACCTCCTGACTGGACCTGAACAAGAGTTCATACATCAGTGTTTGTTAGTGCCACACCAAGAAGAGGCGTAACGTCAGCTGGGCAAATAAATATATTTCTATGTGTACGTCACCCCGTCAAACTCAATGAAGAATTCAGTCTTGAGGCGTCGGCTGGCGTCGTGTTCGCCCTCCCTCCGTTCACACAGCAGACTGTCCACTTCATCTGGACACACAAACATCACGACTGTCATACATCATCATTAATCACCAGGATGGAAGTCAGAGACGTTAATGAGATCCACCTGCTGCCGCCGAGGTTTGTGGGTATTTAGACACGTCGTGAAAATTTTTTTTACTTCAGTTGATCATCTGAATAAAACGTGTTCACCTGAATACTGTCACACCTGCTGCCATCAACTTCCCCCCCCCCCCCCACTCATGTGTGACCCCCTGCAGTGACTGTACGGCCACCAGGACTGGCCCACCCACTGATGAAGAGGAGGAGTTACCGATGAAGATGATGGAGGGCTGCAGCTCTCGGGCCACAGAGAACAGAGCTCGAACCAGCTTCTCGCCTTCACCCACCTGCAGACAGACAGACAGACAGACGTCACTGCAGCACGTCCTTCGTCTCAGCGCTCAGTGATGTCATCGTAAGTTGGGTTAACACGTTTCTCAGAGCGGCGGTATGAAGTGAACTGTTTCCAGATTCACAGCTACTTACATATTTGGAGGTTAAACTGGCGGCGCTGATGTTGAAGAAGGTGGCGTTGGATTCAGCTGCCACAGCTTTCGCCTGGAGGAGATAAAAGCATCGCACAGATACAGGAAACATTAAAATCCTGAGTGTGTGGCGTCATATGTGTGAATGTTACGATGTGTATTTCCTGGTTCACACACTGGTCTTGATGCTACGTATTCATGTCGGACGGATTTTAAAAAAAAACCCAGAATGATTACTACTTGTGAAAGTTGAAAATATTAGTGCGATAAAATGTAATTTGATTTAATGATTTTATTTGTTATATGTAAGAATTTATCAAACTAAATTATTAATTTATCATCGACAGGAACAAACGAAGTAAAAACAGCCCTGAAATCAAACCCAGGTCATCAGTGACCTCTGCTGCTTCTTCTGGTTTCTCAGACTCACCAGCATCGTCTTGCCGTTACCGGGCGGACCGAACAGAAGAAGACCTCTGGCTGGAGTCCGCAGTCCTGTAAACAGCTAGAGAAGAAGAAAATCTGCTGACAGACGTTTAAATCTAAAATCTGGATTTTTTATTGCTGCATGTTTTTTCATTGTTTGATCTGAAGACACCAAAACACTTCCTCTAAACTTCAATAAACCGACTGTTCAGTTTCTTTGTTCTAAAACACTGAACCTTCAGTTTGGAAGAATGTAAAACAAAAATAAATAAATAACAAAATTAAAAAGTCTTTAAATTAAAAAACTCAGTAAAATGAAAACAGTTGGTTAAAACAACAACAATAAAATGGAAAAAGGTAAAATAAATCAAATCAATAAAATTTAAAAGCCAGTAAATCTTCATTTCACTGTCGACTGACTTGAACTCACCTCGGGTCTCAGCGCCGGCAGGATGACGATCTCCTGCAGCGCCTGCTTCGCCAAATCCTGACCGGCAACGTCTTCGAACCTGACGGATGAACCGCTGAAACAGAAACCATCAACACAACCAGTAAACCACCACAGATACGTGTCAATACCAGTTAACCAATGACAGCATCACGTCACTGCCACTGACACAGAGTCACAAAGATCCGATGCTTCTCTCTCTGGACTCTCGGAAACTGTGACGAACTTTTTTAACCTTTTTCCCACAGACACGTTCACCAGCACATCAGGAGAAAGCAGCGTTGTCCACATTCAGCCACAAAGATGTTCCTATTCTGCAGATTCAGACTCGAGCACGCCACGCCCACACAGCCAGAAACTGTTTGCTTCCTGTTCACCTGATTCTCTTCGCCTGGAGCTTAGCTGTAAGCACTTCCTGTATTAAAGCTCCGCCCTGTGTTCAGCGTCAGAACTGCAGACCTAGAACTAAGAACAGGGTCCAAGAAGAAGCTCTGTGCTGAGTTTTGGTGTCTGACAAAGATCTGTTAGTCTGACTGGACTTCCTGGGTCAGATTTCATGTCTCACCTGTACCTGAAGATCAGTCAGGTTTCAATCAGACCGCCGTCCCTCGGCCGCGACGAGCTCCTAAAACATTTCAGACGGTTTCATAGCGAGTAAAAAGCTCCGTGTAGTTCGTTCTCTCACCTGTCAACAATCTCGTTCAGAATGAGGTTGGCGAGTTTCTCGTCTACGTTTTTCAGGTTCTTTGTGTGTTTCTTCTTCAGCGGCGTCGACGTTGGGGAGCTGACTTTAACGGCGCGGCGACAGTTTCTACCCTGCAGGACCAACACAGGAAGTGTTTGTGTTAATGAGCGTGCGACACCACAGCCCTCAGTGCACGTGACCTGCAGCGATGGAGGGCGACCTGGAGTTCACCTTCAAAGTAAACACACCTTACTGTTCCTGTTAGTGTGGGCGGGGCGGCGCTGGGAGCTGAGGTTTGATGAGCGATGGAGGCCTGCCGAGGAGGAGGAGGAGGAGGAGGAGGTCTTTAGTCGGCTGGATGCTGCTGGATTAACAGAGTCTCTCTTCCTCGAGACAGCGCCACCTGCTGACCACACACACACACACACACACACACACACACACACACAGAGCAGTGTGGACATTTTCACCAACCTGACCTAATGAAGCACCTTTTTTTTCTCCTCCGGAACATGAACATGTTCAACATGTAAAATATCTTTAACAAGTTTCCATGTGACTATGGACGTGCGGTTTGTTGTCGCCTCCTCTAAAGCCGGACAGGACGTACCTGAGCGCAGGTGGGCGTGGTTAGTGCTGTCAGTGTTAATGTCCGTCTGAGCTCTGGACCTGGAGAGCACCGTGGCTAAAACAACAGGAACAAAGGAAAACTGTTCACATAGTGAAAGAGGAAGAGAAGAAAAGAAAGGATGCAGGTCAAAAATATACCACATAGAGATGCAAAACATGTACTAGGGATGCACCGATCTGATATCTGGATTGAATATCAACCCCGATATCATCAAAATAGATGGATCGGGTATCAGAAAATGCGACCTATACCTGAGGCGATCCTTTCACTTTAAATCTACTGTGACGTGAGCTACGTCACACGTCATGGAGCGAAGGAGAGAATCTGATGTGTGGAGGTATTTCACACTATTTCACCTGCTGTTGCACAAGTGTTTATTTCTGTTAAAAATAAATAGTTCATCATTGAATTAATCTGTTGCATCTTGTTTCATTTTATCTTAGGAAAGAACTGTGTCGTCATCAATGCCTGATGCCTCTAGTCTTTACTGTTCTACATATAAAGGAGTATAGCTTTTAGCTCAACCATGGTATCAGATCGGTATCGGGTATCAGTTGATACTCAAAGCCACAGCATCGGGATCAGAACTGAAAAAGCTGGATCAGTGCAACGCTAACACCTGCATAGCGATACAAAACAAAAACAAAGTGAAGCAAAACCTCCTCAAAGAGACGAAGAGACATAAAACAACCACAAAGAGACACAAACAGAACAGACGATCTGTCTCTGAGACACCTCCGTTGGACACTGAAACCTGGGTAGAGCTGTGACTGAGCCTGAAGCAGTCCAGTGGACTTTGACCATCAGTGTGAATCTTACCTAAAGACTGCAGTCGGTCTTTCGCCATGATCAGGTTGGTGGTCATCTTGTTCTGCAGCCGTCTGTCTCGCTCATATTTCTCTCCTGGAAAAGAGACAAACAAAATCACATGTAGATACTCAGAGCAGCTGAGATTCAACCTCTCAAAGAAAACCAGCAACAAAATGAAATAAATCAGGATGAAACAAACTGAGACTCCAGTTACAGCTGTTTACAGTTTTATAAAGTGTAGACGTGTCCTCCCTCCCTCCTGCTGGTCACGGAGGGAACTGTGGACTCACCGCTTCCTGAGATCTGGATGGCGATGCCTTTCTCCAGCTCGCTGATCCCTCGCTGGTACCAGCACACCGCCTGCTGCTTGTCACCTGACAACACATCAGCCAATGACAACGAGCCGCACACTCTGACATCAATCACAGAGGAGCAGTTTGATTCTAGTTCAACACCACAAAGTAAAAGTTCGCAGTTAAAGTACGAGGATCAGTGATGCAGCAGCGCACGGACTGAACTGTTTCCTACAGCAGAGCAGCAAAGAGAAATATGTGAGGCTTTGGTATTCTTCAACTGGAACTCAGTTTGTCAATAAATGTCCAATGAGTCAACAGTTAATGAAACGTGTCCAGTACTGACAGAGAGTGCTGCAGCAGTGAAACAGGAAGTGATGTAACCACTCTGTCCATGCCATCAGTGTCCATCCACTGACTGTTTCTGTCTCTTGACAGGCTCAGATTGTGATTCTGAGTGTCTGACAGCATTATGAAAGGATCCTTACAGAGATAGAGCTTTGTGTTTAACCAGAAACAGACCCAAAATCAGTGTCACCACCAGACTCCATTTAAACAATCATGTTTTCACATCTAACTTGGTAAATTAAGGGTTAATTTCAACAAAACCAGAGTTGGTGATTGTTGGAGCAGTGGAAAGACAAACCAAGAAGGTTTCTGTGAGTTTTATTTTGTTTCTGTCGACTTTGAAGTGTGTTTAACGATTTAATTGAATGAAAGCCTGTCTCTGTCCAACACATACAGTCCATCTGACACACACAGTCCATCTGACACACACAGTCCATCAGACACATACAGTCCATCTGACACATACAGTCCATCTGACACACACAGTCCATCACACACATACAGTCCATCAGACACATACAGTCCATCTGACACATACAGTCCATCTGACACACACAGTCCATCTGACACACACAGTCCATCACACACATACAGTCCATCTGACACATACAGTCCATCTGACACACACAGTCCATCAGACACATACAGTCCATCAGACACATACAGTCCATCTGACACATACAGTCCATCTGACACACACAGTCCATCTGACACACACAGTCCATCTGACACACACAGTCCATCTGACACACACAGTCCATCTGACACACACAGTCCATCTGACACACACAGTCCAGATGATCACGTTCTGTCAGAGCCACAGGACGTCACTGGAGAGGAGCTGAAGGAGCCGACCCCTGACCTGGATGATGCAGCTAAAATCCTGACATGTTTAGACTGTTGTGGCTCCATCTTGTGCAGTACGACAGTCGCTGAGGTTTGGACTCACCTCAGACTCTGGGACTGTGGACAACTGTTAATCATAGTTATTTAGAGATCAAGAAATAATGAGAATAATTAATAGCTGTCTGCTCTTCTCTGCTGACAGGCTTCAGCTCATCAATAATCAATCAGTGATAACACAGTGTGTGTGTGTGTGTGTGTGTGTGTGTGTGTGTGTGTGTGCACGCAATACATACTGGTACCCAAGTATGCATGAACCATTTTTTTAAACCATGATTCTGAACAACTTGAATCAGCTGCACATGTTCTAAATGGGTGTCATGCTTACAAAGCTCTGTATATTGCTCGTCATGATTGCATTGTCGATCTAATATCTGAGGCTGTGCAAAAAGCTTTACCATCAAGCGCTGCAAGGTATAAAAACTTGAGAGTGTTGCCAGGTTGGTTTGACCTGGATTATGACATCTTTGCCAACATCTCCAATACACCTGACATTGTTTTTGTTGATAGCCGCCACACGGAGGTCCTGATTTTGGAAGTAGGCTGTGTGTTTGACCTGTACATGGACCAGGCTTTCCATGACAAATACTCAAAATATCAACCATTACTCAAAATCATAACAAGTCTTGGTTACAAATGCAGATTCTCCGTACTCATATTTGGAAGCCTGGGCCATGTGTATAAATATACCACTAGTGGCCTGAACATTGCTGGCATATCTAAGTGCAGAGTAAAAAAGCTTGCTAAATGTTGCTCTGTTTCTGCTGTTATAGGCAGCTTGGCTGTATGGAGGAGAAGATGCTGTGTATTTCCATGAGTGACCAGTACTGTCTTCTTGACCCCTTTTGTATTTGATTCCCTGCCATACTTAATGTAATTGGTGGAATCAAATAAAGAATTCAAATGTGTGTGTGCGCAATATTTCTTCACCGTGTGAAATAATTTCTTGTATTCTGCTTTAATGCCCTGTTTCATTGTGTTTACTTTTGTATATAATCTGTAATGTGTGTCTTCTGATACAGCAGTGACAATAAGGCACTGATTGATTGATTGATTGATTGATTGATTGACTGACTGCGACCAGTCCCAATAAAGTCACCTGATCTAAAAACCGCTGTTGCTGTGCTACAAAGCTTGTCTCTCTCAGACCAGACTCCATACAGAAATCACCTGGTTTAATTTAACCCTAACCCAAACACACACAGCTGCCATAAGGAGCCCTGAATGTACCGATACACACCCTTTACGGTGAGTGTTTGCACTCGGGTGCATCACACACATCCAGCAGCGAGTATTTATTGACTTCGGAAGCCCTCAGACATTTCCTCCATTCAGCGGAACGACGGTTAAAACGGTTGATTTTCTAACGGAGTTCGGTGTTTTAAATGAGCGTCGGTTACCTTGCTCATCCTCATCGATCCTCAGTGCCGCAGAGATGAACTCGAAGGCCCGCCCGTGGTGGCTCCTGACCCGCTGGCCTCGCTCCGGGCTCCCGCTGCCGCCGGGCTGCTCCGCGGCTCTGACAGCGGCCACGGTGCGGCTCCACAGCCCGCAGAGGAGCGACCGGAGCAGGGACAGCGCGGCCAACAGCGGGGAGGACACGGACCACAGCGCGCCCAGCTTTCCGGTACCGGTAACGGCGGCACCGTCACCAGCGGCGGCTCTGTCCGCCGGCCCCGCGGAGCTGCCGGTCCACTGCCTGCTTCCCCCGGGACTCATTCACGGCCATATCACAGCATCCCGGTCCGGTTCAGCCAGAGAGCCGCTGCTCACCGTTCAGATAAACGGCTGCTGCTGCTTTGTGTTTAGGGACTGTTCGGTACTTGTCAGGCGGGGGGAGGAGAAACAGCAGAAAAAATAACTGTTAATAACTGATAATAACAACTAATAGCCTCACTACTAATAATTAATGAATTTTATATGATAGAAAAAAAAAAAAACAAAACCTGATCTGTCACTGAGCTTTTGAACGATCCTTTGGGGTCCAGTGAGTGTGAGAAAAAATAAAATAAATTAAAAAAACCCTACTTTTCGTTTTTCTCTCCGGGACACAAAAACATGATGGCTGATGAATCCACACTAGAGGGCGCTGTGACATGATGCTGATATCAAACAGTTGGTCTGACATCCTGCTCATTTTGGTGAACACAGAAAAGGAGAGGAGATACTTTCTCATTTTTATGTGTCAGAGTCATTTTTTTTATGTTGGTGTTGTTTTTGTATTAAAAGCTTGTAGGTTATTGGTCATTTAAAAATCAAACACTTTAATATTATATTTATAATAATAAATTCTTATGAAACAACGGCTTTAATAAACTAGATTTTTTTCAGAACTGTAAATTCTTTCATTTTACTTTTATTACAGAGGATGATTCAAACAATCACCTGGTTCAAATTCATGGTTTAAACACAGGGGGCGCTGATGAGCAGGCTGCTGTTAGAGAGGTGGTTTTCACTTTACAACTTATTTGGTGTTTATATCTTAAAAAACTAAAACGTTGAACGTATTTTTTTCCCCTGAAACCTCACTGATAACGACAGGGACAAGCAACCCCCACGAAGCCTCGTCTCCACCGAGCAGTTCAGTTCAGTTCAGTTCAGTTCAGTTCAGTTCAGTTCATAGTTTCAGTTCCCACAGTGTAAAGTTGTGGATGGTCCCAACAGAAGCGTTCCTCAGCGTCCCCATGTTTGGTCCCCCCTCTGTTGGGGTACCTAGCACACAGATCTGGTACTAAAAGGTGGAGCTAGAAACCCTGCAGTCTGATTGGTCAGTAGAGGACGCTCACTCTGGTTTTATGTAACCTCTGTTCATACATCAGTAAACTACAACTATAAAATGAAAGAGAAAAAAATAACTTCATTCACTGGGCCGACTGCCGGCAACTTTTAAGGTGGAACGTTAACTTGTAATGTTACTCAATGCATGAGTTGATGACGTGAATCCATCAGCACACCTTAAATTTCACTGTGACAACTTTGACCATCACTTTAGTTTTTATATGACACACACTTTTAGTAATGACTTTAAAAATATAGATTAATTTGGAGCGGATTATGTGAAGGTCATATATTCTAATCCTCACTTCCTGTGGGCTACAGCAACACTAAACCCCTGAGCTTGCCTGAGAAGGACTAAATGCACAAAGCTGCTATTTTTAAATATCCCATGGAGAGAGACTCTCACTGCAGCCTGTTCTATTTTGTTGTGAAAATGTGGGCGTGCAGCCTCGTTCTGTGGACGATAAACCAGGTGCAGACTTCCATCTGTGTCACCGCTGATGAGGAAATACAGCGAGTGCTGGACGGAGCAGTGAGTGACAACAACCCCGCCCACATTTAAGAGGACTGTCTGAACACACCGAGGGTCTAGGTACCATGTCTGAAGGCTTACTGCTGGTTCCACAGGTGCTGTGAATGACGGTGAATTATTTGGACCCGTCACTAGGTGGCAGTCTTGTATTATTGATGTACAAACTGCGAGTACAGGAAGGTGAGGAAGTAATCAGGTTGTATAGTTTCCACCTGTGTGCCGCTTCCTCACCGCCTGCACTGCACACACTTTGTTTGCTTCGGTTTGCTGTGGCGTCTGTGCTGCTCCGGTTCCCCGCTGCTGATTCCTGATTTCCTGGTTTATATAGAGTAAGTTTACCTCATGTGTTGAATTTTATTTCCATTATGGCAACTATCACCGCTGTTGTTTTTTTTTAATGGTGGAGAAGTAGACGGTCCGACAGACGATATCTCAGCGTTCCTCAAACAATTAGCCCCCTTGGTAGTGGAACGAGGTACGTTTTGTTTGGTGTATTTGTTCAGATTCGGGGGTGTTTATTCAGTGTTTTTAATCATAATATAAGCTTTGTTTATAAATGTATTTTTTCTGTTAAACTGTAGTAAATTGCACTTCAGTTGTTTTTTTTTTTTTGTATTGTGAATTTGGATTAAAATTTATATGTATTTGGTAAAGTTTTTCCTTTGTTTGTGTATTGTGACCATTTAGTGTATTTTTGTGTTAAATGTGTTCGGAAATTTACCTTGTAATTCATGAGTGTGTAAATTAACCCTTTTGTGTGTTTCAATTTATAGTTTGCACAGTGCATAAGGAGAAATACAAATTTAAGCACCAGTACGAGACTCTCCATTTTATTACGGGAACCAAGGGCCAGCCACAGGTACTGGACTGAAAGGGTTTGGTGGAGACGAGGCCTGTTATAGAGGTGATTTTCATCTTAAAAAACTAAAAGGAACATTTTTCATTTTTTCCCCTGAAACCTTTTTGATAACTACTGTGACAGCCAGTAAGAGAAGGGGTGGGAGTGTGATGGGGTTGGTTGTCACACTGACTGTGTCTGAAATCACTCACCACTCTCTCTATAGTCCACTTTACAGTGAGTTCACCATGCACCGGGAAAAGTCGTGTGCAACCGGTGGTCACTGACCAAGCAATATATCCCATCATGCATTGCACTAAAGGAACAGATGCACTATAGGGGACGGACACCGAGAAGGACGAGGGAAGAGACAGAGCAGCTGGATCACAACCTGCTGTAAAAGCTTGACTCATAATGACGTGATGAAGTTTGTTTTTCTTTGTCATGAAATAAAGCGTCAGTTAAATGTGTCGTCGGTCCTGAAGAGATAAAAATAAATCAGCCGCTGATCTTTAGAGCTTCACAGTTACTGTACAGAGGAGGCTAATAACACGAGCTAATGTTGGCGAGATGAGTCGCTGCCAGCTGTGATCTGTGTCATAACGTCATAATACATGACGTTATACATTAAATTCACTCCTTATTACAGACTGATGGTAAAACAACCTTCAACATAGCAGAGATTATACAGAAATTTCAGTGGGACAGGTCGCAATCATGCTGCTCTCTCTGCTCTGATCTGTCTGCCAGTGTGATGTTATTAATGTGTTTAATATGAGCAGAGCAGCAGCACAACAGTAACGGCCACAAAGTACTTTGTAACGTTACTTATTCATTTGGAAAAACACGCTTATCATAATTGCATGTTTTTATCATAAATATTGATGTCAGTATTTGTTATGGATCGTCACCAGCTGATGTTGATGCAACATGTTTCAATTGTGCAACAGCAAAGATGTAATTAACAGCGCCGAGACAAACGGCCTGAGTAGTGTCTGAAAGTGTTTTGTAACGTTGCAGGTGAGCTCACTGTACAGTGCTCGACCCTGAGCTCCCTACGTAGTGACTCAGTGAATGATGTAGGCAGAGTGTCTGTGATGGCTAATTATATGTAATGGTCATGATGTAACAGGAAGGCAGTTAAACTTCAGGGAGATCAGTCCAGTGATTGTGAATCAGTTTCAGCTGCAAATCTATGGGGTGCCGTTTGTAAAGTGTCTCACGCTGAAAATAACATCAACATTTTGCCACATTTAGCTTCAAACAATGTTTAAAAAAGTGTTGTGAATTTTTTAATGTCACCTTTTACCACATTTACAGCAATATTTGTTAACTTAGAAATATATTAAATAGTTAAATCTAAATATTAAAATATGGCACCTAAATGTTAAATATATATATATATATATATATATATATATATATAATCATAATCATATTAAAACAGCCTATATATTATTATTACTGTCTCCTTACTGTACAAACTGTAAATAAATCTTTATTCCTGACTAGTTAAAATATTTTTATTTTTTGGTAGACTGGCTTATGGCGTGATTTTGAAGGAGTAATGAAGTTAATCTTCTCATAAGTGGATGTAATATGTAGAGATGCCATCTAGGCCGTTTTTCTTCGTTTTGTTTTTTTTAAATGTCTATATTTTGCTTTACAAAAACGTGAAAAAGCAGCTGTGGCCAAGCTATGACGAGGTGAGTAGCATTGTAAGCATAATTAATAGCGATATACTTCAGTTTGTCTGTGTGTTTCTGTATGCAAGCGGGTCTGCTGACAGTCCAAAATGGCGGCGGTAGGACGAAACCACGTTGCTATGGGGCGTTATGTTGAGCTTCACCTCTTGGTGTCCATGCTCTCTGACTAAACAAAACATCGACCAGTGTTTCAACTGAATTGAGGTCGCACACCACGTGATCTCGTGACGTTCTCGCTGATCACGTGGTGTGCCAGTCAGCTGACTGCCGTCTTCCGGGTTGTCGGTCGGTGTTTACTTTGTGAGCGGCTCCTGTTCGTGATTTGTGCGGCTGAAGTCGAAGGTAAAGTCTCAGTCTTACACTTTTCATGTGAAACAAACGGCTCCGGTTCAAATGTCTTGACTTTTATCCGGTCTGACGTCATCCAGACTCTCCGAACACGTCAGCAGACCAACAGGCAGCTGAGCAGAGACTCTTGACATCATCAAGTTTTAGCTCGTCATATCAGAGATGTAATGGCAGTACTGTGTGTGTGTGTGTGTGTGTGTGTGTGTGCGCGTGTGCGTGTGTGTGAGTGAGTGTGCGTGAGTGTGCGTGTGTGTGTGTGCGCTTGTCAGGGGCGGATTCAGTGATTCTGGGGGCCAAACTGTGAGACATGGGGCCCAGAGGGGAGGAAAAGCTCAGGTCCATCACTTAAAGGGAACACCAGCTAAATTAAAGGGACAGTTCAGGTGTTTTGAAGTGTGTGTGTGTGTGTGTGTGTGTGTGTGTGTGGTGTTTATCCACAGTGTGTTTCCTACAGCAGACGTCAGTCAGTACGTCTCCAGGTGAGTCTGACACTGACGCTCAGTGATGTTCTGCTGTGGGCGGAGTCAGCAATCAGGCCGGGTCACATGGACTAAAATTCATAACTGTATACAGGCTGACATACATGACATATATCTCAGTATTTTCAGCTGCAGGTCAACGACACATTTGAGACGTCACAAGCAGTTTTATAAAAACAGACTGTGATCAAAATAAAATACAAAGACAGGGATCAGAACACACACCTCCAGAAAGCTGTGTGAAGTTTAGTTGATTCAAAACACACATTAAACACACAGTAAACACACATTAAACACACAGTAAACACATATTAAACACACATTAAACATGGCTTAATAGAGACAGTTTCAAACACAAATCAGCTCCATCACAACTCACAAGGTTCACTGACAAAACAACTGTCTTATACTAAACACGTTTTCCAAACAAATACAACATGCTAACGTTATTAGCACAAGCCTATGGCATTTTACATTGTATAAATTAGCCTAGCAGCTAGCAGAGATTTCCTCTGCTCATATTTCAGCCAGGATAAATCACACACAGTGTGTGGAGGCTTTATTGTCTTCACAATTTATTGTTTCTTATCTGTGAAGTTAAAGTAAATCAAAGCTTTGTTTCCACTGAGGGAAATGGTTTCAGCTTACAGAGACAGACAGGAGGTCTGCGTCACTGTGACACTGTGGAGTTACATTACTGGGGAGGTGCACGTCAGGCTGCAGTGTCGATGTAGAAGTATAAATCCCTTAAGACTCTGAGATCTGCTATCGTAAGGAGGAAACACTCAGCTGACATCATGTCGTCATAGAAACACTTACATACAAAACATGACGAGGAGGATTCTGCACTTTTACAGAAATCACATAGGAAAGTTTGAACAATCACGTTTCATATTTTATTATCTTTATTTCTCCATTTCATTGTTCTTTCTTTTTTTATGTGCTAACTTGCGTCTTGAATCCATCCTGTTGGACTTTCTCTTTCCCTTTTTGAACGACTAATACAGGCTACTGCCGCCTGCTGGCGTGGAGAGTTATCTCTTCGTATGTCAGCTGTCTTTGCGGTGCGTTCGAGTGCAGCTTTTTGGCTGAGATGGCGTACATGAGGCGACGCAGCAGTTAACCTTTGTTTGGTGTGTCGGGGTCCTTACGTGTCTGTGCTCAGGGGTCACGTGGTCGGGCCATCGTTGAATTAACAGCTGTGATGGTTGTTTACAGTCAGTGAAGTGTGGAGTGGCCATGAACGCCTCGGAGAGTGACGAGGACTCCTATAATGAGAGGACAGCGTTGGTCCCATCTGAGAATCCAGTGGTGCCATCCTACAGACCAGATTCTGACCTCACGCCTCCCAATGACGCCCCATCCAAAAAGGTAAAGGTCCATTTTTATCACTTACACAGAACCAAATAAAAATCTCTAACGATCAAACTGAACAGTTGCTGTTGATGTACTTCCTGCTGCCCTGACGCTGAATGTCGCCCTGTGGTGGTACAGCCTGTGGCGAGCAGGAGGGCGCGTCCGGCTGCTGTGGACAGCGGCGGTGGCGGCGGCTCGGATCAGGAGGTGGACGCAGACGATGAAGAGCTGACTCTGAAGTATGGAGCCAAGCACGTCATCATGCTGTTCATCCCCGTCACCCTCTGCATGGTGGTGGTGGTCGCCACCATCAAGTCGGTCAGCTTCTACACTGAGAAGACCGACCAGCAGCTGTAGGTCTGCACTTCAGCCGCTACAACGCTCCACTCCTCCGCCCACAGCTAAACATGATTTTTTTCCCCGCAGGATCTACACACCGTTCACGGAGAACACGGCGTCCGTGGGACGCCGGCTCCTCAACTCCTTCCTCAACACCATCATCATGATCAGCGTCATCGTGGTCATGACCATCTTCCTGGTCGTCCTCTACAAGTATCGCTGCTACAAGGTGAGTGGTGAATCAAAGCATCTGCATGTGTGGGTCATTCACAGCCAACATTTAAATATGTTCAGCTAACACAGAGCCGGTGTAACGGAGCAGATCTGGGAACAGTTACTGTGCTAACGTGTGGAAACATAGCGCCCACTGCCCACCCTGCGGTCTCCACTGTTAGCCTTGGCTGCTCTGCACTGCGCACCACCCAGGTGTGGTGGGAGCTAGCGAGCGGCGCTGCTTTATTGGTGATTACACTGTAACGCCGTCCTGGTGAATGCACATGTTGTATATGGTGGCCACACTCTGATCTCCCATGAGGTCGCCGTGGTGAGTAAGTGCCTTGATTTTAGCTGCAAAACCCCTTTAGCATTGTTTACCATGTTAGCACCACTAGCTATGCTGACACTGCTAACAGTGCTAACAGTAGTAAAAAAAGGTTCAAAATTGAGCTATAAACCCCCTGAAAGAACAAAAGAGCTGAAACATATTCCTGAGACCTTTCTCTGTTTTCTCTCGCAGATGGTCAGATGGCGACTAATTTTGTTTCCAGTTAGTAACCTCTTCTTCTCCTCGTGTCGTCAATAACATGTCTATTTTCTTTTTGTGACACTTCCAAAGTTTGATTAAAATGTGCTCGACAGCTGAACTGCAGCACGACTAAAGTGACGTGTTTATGAATGGATCCACGGAGTCGGTTGGACCGACGGGAAAATGTTTAATAATTGAAGCTGAGTCGTTGAAACTTATCTGATCTGCCAAAGTATTAAGAGTTTGTCAGTTGCCCACCTTGTGCATGGCTGTAGTTGAACTTCCTGCTGCTCGACGGCGCTGACGTCATGTGTTTGTGTTGTTCAGTTCATCCACGGCTGGCTCATCCTGTCCTCCCTCATGCTGCTCTTCTGGTTCAGCTTCATGTACCTGGGGTGAGTCCTGCACCTGAAAGAATCAGAGCTCCAGGTGTTTGTGTCTCTACAGGTTTGTCCTGAACACATTTACACTGGTTCTCTGTTTCTCAGCGAGGTGTTTAAGACGTACAACCTGGCGGTGGACTACCCGACAGTGGGGGTGATCATCTGGAACTTTGGGACGGTGGGGATGATCTGTATCCACTGGAAGGGCCCTCTCCAGCTGCAGCAGGCCTACCTGATCCTCATCAGCGCCCTCATGGCCCTCGTCTTCATCAAATACCTTCCCGAGTGGTCGGCCTGGGTCATCCTGGGAGCCATCTCCGTCTACGGTGAGTCGCCGTGAGCTGGAGGGAAGTTAAAATCCCAGTGTGAAGATTTGATGGTTCCTGTGTTGCTCCCGTCACATTCAGACCTGGAAGCATCAACTGTCAGATAAACCTGCACATCAGGTCACCCTGTTCAAAAGTTCACAATCAGCTGTTCCAATGATCTTCTTCTTCTTCTTCTTCTTCTTCTTCTTCTTCTTCTCTTATAACGGAGGTAGAAACAGTACAAGGCCCCGATCACAAAGAAAGCGTTATAATGGTTGTAAAACACAAGGAGCACTGCACTGCCTTTTTTTGGGTTAAATTGAATGTCACTATAAATGAACTCTTGCTGCACCTTTTAATTGTTGCCAGGCGACCACCCCATCACCTCCTCACCCTAACCTTCCTGTGTAATCAATCTACAGTTTATTTATCTTATGTATCCTGCAGTAATCAGTGTGTAGCTGCTGCCATGTTGAGGCAGAGGGTGCTGTCTGTAGCTCTGGTTGAGGGTGAGAGGCTGTCAGCAGATAAACAGAGATCTGTGTGGGTACATGAGACCCTAAAAAAGAGGCTGGATCATGGGGAGTACCACCAGTTGGTCCAGGAGCTTCTCCTCCATCATGGACGTTTACAGTACTGCACTTATCTGCTGTTTTCTATTGACATGGTGCTAACTGTGCTTTGTAAAGTCGTATAGCTCTGGGTATCCAGCAACCACTACCACCAGTTTCTCCTCCATTGTTTACCAACTGTAAACTTGTTGTCATGACCACCTCAGAAGGCCCACCTCTCAAATCATCCCATTGGACAATTGGAATAAAAGCAGAGATGACGTGGGGCGCTTTTCTGCTCTGAGTTAAAGTTTTTTCAGTTCGCTCCGGCAACAACGGCAGGTACCTAGAGCGCAGAAACACGAGGCGCGTCACAAAAACATCGAGTTTCATTCACATTAAAACTGACAAAAAGCCGCCTCCAGCTGCTGAAGCACTTCCTGTGTGATCAGTGTCGGTGCATTATTGCCATATGAAAAGAAGAAGAGAGAAATGAGTGGATGTCCCCACTGTGTCTCATGACAGGAGAGAAAACTATGAGCTTGAATTTGTTTTCGGTGACCTTCGATCATCACAGAACCACAGTAATATTGAGCTGAGCAGTCGACTCAGTGTCAGATTAAAGATCAGCTGCGATTTTTTTAGCTGTTATTTGACAGTGCTAACTGTCGACTGACCTTCTGTTATCACTGAAGAGTTCAGGTACCGGTGTTTGCACCTGAAGGGTTCAGTGTAAATACACACACTTCAAGATTCTTCAGAAAATGAATTTAAATAAAAAATAACATAATAAAAAATAAAATACAATAATAGAAACTCACATTTCTAAAACAACCATTGGTAAAAACTTTCACGACAAACATCTTTAAAAACAGAACTGCTCCAAAAATATTCATACTACAAATAACATAATTCCTCTCTGATATTTATTTTATATCGCTTTGAAAACATCAACACATTTCTCCTTCAAACAGCTGATTTATTCAAGCTTCTCACCAAAAACTACAATTTACAAGATGACATTGAACACATCACGAGAACATTATAATTTACCTTCAACCAGCGCTCATGTTTACTGAATGTAACTCAATGCAACCTCCATCTGTTAACCGCTAACAGCTAATGTTAAACTAGCAGCTAACAGCAATTATTAACAGATAACTTTAACTAGCTGTTAAAAGCTAATGTTAAACTAGCAGCTAACAGATAACTTTAATTAGCTGTTAAAAGATAATGTTAAACTAGCAGCTAACAGCAATTGTTAACAGATAACTTTAACTAGCTGTTAAAAGCAAATGTTAAACTAGCAGCCAACAGCTAACGTTAAACTAGCAGCTAACAGCAATTGTTAACAGATAACTTTAACTAGCTGTTAAAAGCTAATGTTAAACTAGCAGCTAACAGCTAACGTTAACTAGCTGTTAAAAGCTAATGTCAAACTAGCAGCTAACAGCAATTGTTAACAGATAACTTTAACTAGCTGTTAAAAGCTAATGTTAAACTAGCAGCTAACAGCTAACGTAAACTAGCTCTCGTCCTGTTGATGTCATCACAGGTTTGTTGTTCACAGTGGGGAGGCTGTGGCTCAGAGGTAGAGCAGGTCGTCCACTAACTGGAAGACCAGCGGTTGCTCCTGATGATGCTTCTGTCGGTGTGTGAGTGTGTTAAAAACTGAGTAGCAGGTGGCATCTTGTATGGTAGCCTCGGCCACCAGTGTGTGAATGTGTGTGTGAATGTGTGTATGAATGTGTGTGTGAATGGGTGAATGGCTTTGAGTGGTCAGGTGACTAGAAAGGAGCTATACAAGTGCAGGTCAATTTACATCATCGGGGAAACAACAGGCTGCGTTGTCTGACACAACAGATAAACACCGACCACCGTCATCAGTGATGTCATCTGATGTGCTGAAAGGCTGGTGGCGGTCAACATGGAGAAAATTAGTGCATCCTGTTTTAGATGTTGTAACTTTTAATCTTCTGTGTTGTTTTAATTTTGCTGTGGTTGTTTGTGTTTGTTGCAGACCTGGTGGCCGTCCTGTCGCCCAAAGGTCCTCTCAGGATGTTGGTGGAGACGGCTCAGGAACGCAACGAGCCCATCTTCCCCGCCCTCATCTACTCCTGTGAGTCAGAGGAAGAAACACTGAGGCGGCGTTTCATCTCCGCCTGTCCGACAGCTGTGGACACATTTCAGTCCGAACACGCCGCAGTATATAAACATCATGTTTATGACAAATAATAACGGGTTTTGTTTTTGTTTGTTTGTGTTCAGCTGCCATGATGTGGACGGTGGGGATGGCGAGCCCGGCAGACGCTCAGCGCTCGGGACATGAAACAGGTCCAGCATCACAAACAGCTACTTTCTGCAGGGAATCATGGGAAAAAGGGGGCGGGACACAAAAACACGAACACCTGTTCAACCTGATGGTCATTTAATTATTATATTCAGCTGTTCATACGTTTCTGTTATTTTGTCCACTCCTTGTTTCTGTAATGATGTGGTGATCATGGAGCATCTGTGACTCATCACTTCATTTATTCTTTTAAAAAAAATGTTTACACTACCAACGTAAATAAATTAATAAAAATCTATAACTTACAATTTTCACTTTTGTGAATTAGTTTAAAACATATTTATTTTTAGTTTCTTTCAACAAATGCAAATTAATTAATGCAAATTAAATTGCCGACTTAATGACATATTTTTTTCTCTAATAATAATAATAATAATAATAAAATCATATCAAGACTCATTAGAGAACAGCTGTTCTTTAAATCTTCATATTTGCCTTTAATGCCAAATAAATAAAATTAGTTTTACAATTTCCAACATTTTATTACCTGCTTTATAAATAATAAACATGTTTTTTATTATGTATTAATTGAGTTGATTAGTTTTTGTGATGATTCTTGTGTCACCTACTGGAGGAGTTTATCCTCATTTTGTTTTTCAGATGAGGAGGCGGAGCAGAGCAGCAGGGGGGCGGAGCCTCAGAGCCGTCAGTCACGGCCGTTTCCTGAAGACGACCTGGAGGAGGAGGACCGTGAGTTCACATTTTATGTGTCTGTGAGATTTAAGCAGAAAAAACTCTAAGAGAAACACAGAGAAACTGCGGCCGCTGACTGTGGGTCAGCGTCTGGAGCTGCTGCCCGCTCTCCTCCCAGAGGTCTGTAGCGGTGAGGAGTGAGGCCGAGGACATAGTGTGATTCGAGGCTTAAGCTAACGTTAGCTACATAAACATGACCTTGAAGCTGCAGCCTTTAACGCTGGTTAGCAGAAGGCTAAACTATTAGCAATAGGAAAGTCCTCTCCCTGAAATGACCTGTGATTGGTCAGAGTTTCCCGTCTCGGGTTATATTTCTTGAGGCCTGAGAACAGAAGCAAGAGGAGGAGCAGAGTTTCTGCCCAGTGACGTTAAAATGAACCTACCTGAGCTTTAAAGGTGTGTTTCATGTGTCTGTAGGAGGGGTGAAGCTCGGTCTCGGTGATTTCATCTTCTACAGCGTTCTGGTTGGAAAAGCCGCAGCGACGGGTGGAGACTGGAACACCACGCTCGCCTGCTTCGTCGCCATTCTTATCGTAAGTTGTACTTTAATACGGCCCGGTGAAGCTGCTGATGGAGGAGTGACGCTCTTCGTTCCTCAAAAACAAACCAGCGACAAAACCTGTAGCAGCTCACAGAAATGATCTGAGACGTTTCCAAAATCTACACAAACCTCAAATTCTGAAAAAAACATTATTTAAAAAAATCTAAATAATGACTTCACACACTGTAAATAGACTTCGTCTGATCGACAGCAAACTCTCTGAAACTGAGATTTACCTGTATACACTACACACCTGTATACACACCTGTAACACACCTGTAACATACCTGTGTGTCGCCCACCTGTCTCAGGGCCTGTGTCTGACTCTGCTGCTGTTGGCCATCTTTAAGAAAGCTCTGCCGGCGCTGCCCATCTCCATCACCTTCGGCCTGGTCTTCTACTTCTCCACAGACTTCCTGGTTCAGCCTTTCATGGACAACCTGGCTGCTCACCAGTTCTACATCTGAGAGGCTCCGCCCACCTCACCTGCAGCCTCCTCCCCATCATCGTCGTTGTCTTTATCTTTATCATGTTCGTCCTGCAGGGCCGCCACCATCTGTTGATGTAACGCACAAAGACTTCTTCCTTCTACCACAGGAAGTGATGTAATGCAGACAAGAAGCTGGCTGCAGGTTACCTGGTTGTGTCTGTTCACCTGCTGACGAACAGTTTAACGCTAGCTGTGACGTCTGTTTCAGAAACCAGAAAGCACCACGACGGCGTGATAGGCCGATGCTCCTGTCAGTCAAAGTAAACAAACCTGTAAAGATTCACTCTGCAGACGTGAGGTCATCTGTGACCTCATCTGTTACATCCCCTATTTTGTTGTATAACTTCCTCGCCGACTTCAGTAAACACAGGTGAAAGGTCTCTGTCCTGATTGGTTCCTGTCTAACATGACACCAGCTGACTGTGCTGACATTAACATGTTATTAATAATTCAGAGTGATGGCGGCGTGATGACGCATTGAACTGAACAAAGAGTGACTGACGCGAGGTGGAGCGCTACACGACAGCAGCGCACCATCCGACAAACGTCAAATTAAAATTGAATTCCTCCGCTGATATTTGAATAAATCTATTTTTAACTTCAGTCCCTGAGAGATGAGAGAAGCTGCATTTATATTCGTGCGTCAGCTCTTCACAGATCCTACGCCGCAACCTACGCCATCGTGAGCCTTTATACTTGTGTGGTGGTGTGTCTGTGTCACTCTGCAGTGACACCTCCAAAACACTAGATGGTGGTGGAGGACTGTGTGAAGTGCTGTAAAGTTTAGTTGATTCAAAACACACATTAAACACACATCAAACACACATTAACACACATTAAACACACACACATTAAACACACATTAAAAGCACAAACACATCAAACACACATTAAACACACCAAACACACATCAAACACACATTAAACACATTAAAAACAAACACACATCAAACACACATTAACACACATTAAACACACATCAAACACACATTAACACACATTAAACACACATTAACACACATTAAACACACATTAACACACATTAACACACATTAAACACACATTAACACACATTAAACACACATTAAACACATCAAACACACATCAGACACACACACATCAAACACACATTAAACACACATTAAACACACACATTAATCGCACATTAAACACACAATCACACATTAAATGCATTAAACACACAATCACATTAAACACACAGTAAACACACATTAAACACACATCAAACACATTAACACACAATAAACACACATTAAACACACATCAAACACATTAAACACACATTAAACACACATTAATCGCACATTAAACACACATTAATCACACATTAATCACACATCAAACACATTAAACACACATTAATCACACATCAAACACACACATTAACACACATTAAACACACATTTAACACATATTAAACATAAAACACACATTAATCACACATTAAACACACATTAACACACAATAAACACACATTAAACACACATCAAACACACATTAACACACACTAAACACACATTAAACACACATCAAACACACATTAAACATAAAACACATAAAACACACATTAACACACATTAAACACACATTAACACACATTAAACAAACACACATCAAACATCAAACACACATTAAACACACATCAAAAACATAGGCCTCACTGATATTCGTTATGTCAAGTCGTTACAAGAACAAAATGTTTGGTCTGCTTTGATCAGATTGATTGATTGACAGGTCAGTATTCACTGAACAGTCATTATTAATTTATTATTATTATTTTCAACACTCTCAACCAATCACAGACGAGTATTCAGATCTTATTACGACTTTTTTGATAAATGAAAACGCTGAAAATATTACGACTCTATTTTGAAACTATTCTGAGTTTTACTCTGTAAAATAGATCCGTTTTTTCACAACCTTCTGCAGAAAAATGCGACTATTTCATTTTTGTTAAATAGGATTTATTTCTTGATAAATTACAACTTTATTCTGGAAATATTTTGACTTTCCTCAAAAACAACATCAGTTTGTTTTCTTTAAATAAAAGATTACAACTTTCTAGAGAAAAAAATCTGACTTTTTATTGTTTTATTTTTGTTTAGAGGATTTTTTTTCTTGAAATAAATTAAATTGTCTCGTAATTTTTGGATTTATATCGGTGAGAAATTTATTCCATAATATTTGAGACAAAATAAAATTCTTCCAGTTGCATCCATATTTGGATATTTTACAAAAGCAGTTATCAGGTTGTTTTTTAAAAAGTATGAAATTAGACATTCAAACTTTAAACTCTTTTGCTCTCAGCCAACCACAGCCGAGTATTCACAACCTTTTTAAATGTTCACCTTTATGTTGAAAATATTACAGCATTATTCTGTTTCTCTCCAAACATTTGTTTTTTGGTTGTTTTTTTAACCTTCTGGAGAAAAAATACGACTTTCTATTGTTTAGTTTTTGTTGAAAGGGTTTTTTTTCTTGAAATATTATAAGTTTTCAAAATAATCTAACTTTTACTCGTAATAGCTGGAATTAAAAAAAACTACCAGGACTTCTCTGCCATAATATTTGAGACATAATAAAATTCTTCCTGTTTAAAACAAGTTATTATCAGATTTATTAGCAGACACCAACTTTATCAGCTTAATCACCGACACCAGCTGGCTGTCTGACGGGGGGCGGGGCAGGGCAGAGGGGGCGGGGCGGAGGGAGCGGGGTTATATATATATATATTTTGTAGAAATTATTCAGGTGTAGTTTTTGATTTTCTTACTGAAACATGTTGATGAGATTTAGTTTTATTTTTTGTTCTGTGCAATAAAGTCAAACTGTCGAACTTCTGTAACGAGCTGAGAAATAAAAATGATTCTGTCGGAGCTTTTCAGCCTCTTTTAGATAGTTTTGGTTTTAATGCAAATTCCCTGTTTGCTGCCGTCTCATCTGTTTTCAGGATTAAAACTCTGATAAACCATCTGGACACTACCTGTTCAGGTATGCGACAGACATGGGCGGAGCCTTCTGTCCATACGCTGCATTCAGTCAAACACAGCAGGACCATCGGAGGTCGTGGAGGCAGTGTAGTGTTTTCTGTAAGCGAGATTCAACCGTAGGAGACGACAAAGACATTTTTAAAATGGCGGAAAGACACAAATCGGTAATTTAGTGAAAAAAATTCTCCGTCCATGTCATGATGTATTTAATGACCTCATGGAACATACATGCATTATTATGTCCTCCTCCACTGTCGCCTCATTTGTTGTGTGAAACTTCTGTCTCCACTGTCCCTGATGTCACTGAGGGAAGCGGAGTGAAGAGTTCAGCCTCTGTAGCGCTCCTTCAGAGAGGAACATACCATGAAACCTTGATTGAATACCTCCGATTATTATTGTAAATCCCTGAACTCAACAGGTCTTTAGTTCATGTCATACAAAACTGTTGCTCAACAAAGATCATGAAATACAATCAAACTGTTTATTTAAACCAGTATGAAAATTACTGTGTAAAAATCAGGCTTCAGATAAGTTATTATTTGTTTGGTCTAACTCCACACGTCCACATTTAAAACAATGAATTTGAGGGCGCAATAAAAGGCGACATGTACAGCAGCGTGGAGAAACATCCTCCTGCAGAGCCGGATAGAGCCACAGATCTTATTCTCAAAATATCACAACTTTATTACTAATAAATAAATTTCAATTTCATTTTACATCCTCGCCGTTTTAGACGTGCGCATGCGCCGAACACCAGACTCTCAGTTGTATGTTGTACAGACGCAGGTCACTAAATACATACTTTAGATTGTTGTTGTAAAAACAACGTTAGCCTTGCGTTCACAAACACTTGTCTAAAGAAGAAATAGAAACTTTTCCACTACCTAGCGCACTAGCCTTTTAGCTAACGCTGTCTCCTTATCAGCTCCTTAATCATGGATCAATAAAGAAAATAGCAACTTTCACCACAGTTTATTTTGGGAGGATCACTCCAAGGAAACATGTTCTTTGCTTAAATGATCATTTTGAAGTCGAAACAGACAACTTTTCAGCTAACTTAGCTAGCATGCTAGCTGTGCTAGCTAACGCTGGCAGCCAGAAACAAACAACTATGATTCATTGTTGGTTAATTGTGCTATAATTGAAACAAAGAGCACATTTTCTCGCGGTGGTCCTTCTGAAATGAGCAGCGGTTGAAGTTACTATATTCCATCATGATCAGGGAGTTGATATTTTTCTCTTTTATTTCAGAGTTCATTTTCTAAATATTGCAATTATTTTCTCATTAATTTTTTCCTGATCATTTTCAGATTTTATTTTCTAAATACAAAGTTTTTTCTAATTGAAATAATAATTCATAATCCAAATAATAAATCATTTTCTTTCATAAATTTCTGATTTTAATATCCTCATATTACATATTTTAATGTACAATAAATAAAATCCCACAGAGCTGCTTCTCTTTGACATCAACATGTTTATTCTGGATTTAAAAAAAAAAAAAAAAAAGACAGTCTAGCAGTTCATCAACAAACACGAGTATCTACTGTATGAAATCATTTCAGATGCAGCATCCAAGAGACACCAGTTTAATTTCTCTCTTCAAACTGGGATTTGTTCTTCAGCAGGAACGCTGCCAGATACTCGATGGGGTTCGGAGGTCTGGAAGAGAGAAAATGAAAACTTATTCTCTGTGGTGACTCCGACAGGAACCTTCTTCACTATGATAAAGAGATTAAAACTCAATAAATTAAACTTTTATTCATCGAGCCGCAGAATCAAACACCGCAGCTCCTGATTGGTCCAACAGTTTCCTCCAGCAGCCAATAATATCTGTTGTTGAGCAGCTGATTGGTCTGTTGGACAGTAGATCAGTCGTCAGGTTTGTTCTCACAGATACTCTGCGTCCAGTGTGCTCGAGGATCCGACAGTGACTCAGACTGTGTGTTGATTCGATCATGCTGTGATTTAGAGTCTCTGGTTTGGTTACGTTTATGAAAAAAGAACAAAGTTTGGCTTTACAATCTTACCACCCCATCCACCCCTCCCACTCTCCTTGGGCTTTAACTTCTGTTGTTGTCCCATTGACACCATTACAGTACAGCGGATAAGCTCTCAAATTATGAGGAATTGTGCACTGAAAAAAAAAGCATGAAATTTCTACCATAGTTAGTACATACCATAAGGTTTATTTTCAGATGTGGAGGGAAGTCAGATTTGACCTCTGAGGCCCGGGAGAGGTCAAATTCAACTTTGGAACCAAACACAGTAGAAAAACATTTAAGGTGTCATTTCCAACTAAGTTTAGGGTGCCCATTCAGTTAGTGATACTTCTGAGATCAATGGAATTCAAGAAAATGCATTTATGTCAAGGTCAAGGTAAAAATTTGCTTTAAAAAAACCAACAAAATTTTCCCCTCTTTTTTTTAAATGAACCCCACAACATATTTCAATTACTTTTTACTCTCCTGTATTATTCAGTCAGTTATCATTTACTGGGATGTGTGGTTATTTTTTCCTGCTATGCACATCATTATCAGCAGATGGCCCTCTAGAGCATCAGTAGCTAATGCCAGTAGCGATGTAGTCAGTAGGCAACATGATGAGTAGGCTACGGTATGCATGAGTGACAAGACAGAGCTGACATAAATGTCCTACCAGGTAAACTGACTATGACTTGAGTAAAGCCTTAACATGCAAATACATTGAATTTGATTGTAGCCGGGAATGAGTCTGCCTAGTTAGTTAGCTAGCTAGCTTCTGTGGTAATAAAAA